ACATAATACGTTCACACAGCTTGGAGATTGTTGACAATAACGAAATCGGGCGGTAATTCGATGCATCGAGCTTACTTCCCTTGTTCTTAAAGACCGGAGTTACAATTGCGTGTTTCCAAATAGCAGGGAAAGCACCAGTTGCAAAAGTGAGGTTAAAGATGAGGCTGAGAGGGTATGCAATACTGGAACAAAATAGTTTCAGGAGTTCATGAGAAATACCGTCCGCTCCCGCAGCCTTTCGGGTCTTAAGGTTGCGGATTTGCTTTGCCACAGCAAAAGGCGTGGTGGTGACATCTTGCAACGTAGGTGTAGTTCTTCCACGTGATGGGGCGTCGGATGGCTTGAAGTCTGGCACATTCCATGAAGGATCATCTTGTGTTCCAAAACCAATAAACTGTTCGTTCAAAGCATCTGCCACATCCACAGGGTCAGAATATAGAGTACCAGCGACAGAGAGCTGAGTTACAGTCGTTCTGCTGTTGCCTTGGGGAGATCGAAGCTTCCGGACAAACTGGAATAAACTTGATGATGCGGGTCTTGCCGTGGATGCACTTAAGGATGAGATGTACAGTCGATGGGCAGTTCGAGACATATTGCGAGTAACGTTTCGCTCTCGTCTGTAAGTAGCGAAGTTGTCAGCCGAGGGAAACTTTCGGTAAACACTATACGAATCTCGTTTTTTCTTTATTTGATGTCGGAGGGTACTGGTCAGCCAGGGGGGGGGGGGGGTTCATATGGATACGCTTGACAGCCGGCGGCTTCCGCCTGGGCAGAAATCTTGCACAGATGTTATGGAAGATAGAGTAAAAGTTGTCCACAGATATGTCAGGATCGCGCCTCTCCAGGCTCAAAGCTGCTGGCCAATGCATGTGGGACATGGCAGTATTCATACTCGCGACAGTGTTGCTGTCTAGAGAATCCAAAGAAAATACACTAAAATCAGGGACATCCAGGGGAGTCGAACGAGCATCACGAGAACGATATGTGGGCATTTCTGGGCAGGGTACAGTACGGATGTGGCCAACCACGATAGAATGATCGGATTGACCAAGTGGTGCTGTAGCACGGAGGCAGGATATAGAGTCCGGTATACCAGTGACAACTAGGTCGAGAGCTGCCCCCATGCCAGACAATGACTCATGTGTTGGAAAATTTACGAGCTGCGTGAGAGAGAACATGCCGAAAAGACTGTGAAGCTGGCGACCAGCGGCATCCGTGGTAGTTCCATGCCAATGACATGACTTAGCATTAAAGTCTCCCATCAACATGATAGATGTTGTTCGGTTCTTAAGGGTACTTAGACAGTGCTGGAGGGAATTGCAGAAGGTGTTGATACTTGATGGAGTAAGGGCTGGGGGTCGATATACTGCACCAATAACCAACTTCTTCACATGAGGCGCCTCTGGGAAATGTATGTTAGCAGATGACAGGGCTATTTCCACCCATGTGGCTTCCAGGAGAGGGATACTGAGGTCAGATCGATGGGTGACCTTTGGAAACATCCCAGACCGTACCATGATACAGACGCCGCCATATGCATGGGTGGCATCGGTAGCTGACCTGTTTTCATCTGGCGGACGATCTCGGCAAAAACAGTCATATCCAGGGACCGTGAAAGACGACTGTGGAGAGAGCCATGTTTCCGTTATGCAAACAATGAGGGGTTTAACTGTGGAACAAATGTGAGCCAGCTCGGCAGTCTTGTTCTTAATGGACCTGGCATTGATGCACATTATAGGCTGTGATCCTGCGGTTGGCTGCGAAAGTGGGTAAAAAGGCTGAGCTAATGGATTAAGTGTGCTGTTAGTAGTAATGTTTGGGGACCAGTGAGGAAGTATCGGGGGGTTGAGGTTCATTATTGTGCAGACTGATCGACGGTTGTGTTGTCAGCTGTACTTATTCTGTCAGCCTTGAATCGCCATTCTCGAGCTGTCACTCCGTCAGGCCAAAAGTCAGTGTTTTGCACAGCTTCCCAGTCATCTTCTGTGACGACTACGTGCGCGTACGCTAGGCCAAAGTACTTTGTCTCAGAGACGGAGCATTTCAGTACAGTCACTTGCTTGTTTTCGCACCATTTTGCGATGGAGGAAGCAGAGCAACCAGGGTGAATTCTTCCAACATGAACAGCTTTGCATTTGGTACGATGGGCACTGCGCAGTTGCTCATGTTTGCGGGGTGGGCGCTGGTAGTATGAAATGACGTTTGTCCGGAGGGCTTGATCAGTATGTGTCCCCGTATTGGAGGTAGCTGACTGTGTGATGGGAGAATGCGATGGGAAGTGAGCTTTGGGACGTGCAGATACTACTTTTGCACTGTACGAGTACGGGTTGACTCCAGAGTGCGTATTCCGTGCCTGTGCTGCTGCATCCAGCTCAGGAGAGACTTCTGGTACGGGTACGCTAAGTACGGGTGCGTCAGGTGCGGGTGTAACCTTTTTGAATTCCGAACTGCCAATTTCTCTCTTCAGAACTTCAATTTCGGCATGGAGGGCTGAAATTTCGGCTTTTTGGCCAACCTTCAGTGCCACTATTTCAATGCTCAGGTTTTCAATACAGGTCGTCAAAGATAATAATGCATTCTCTAGCCTGGATACATACGTTCCGGCTCGTGCATCCACACCAAATGCCCGGAGGCTCTCCACCAGCTCAGCACGGGACAGCTTACTCACGCCCTCTATGCTGTGTTTTGTAGCCAGTTTCCGCAGGTCGTCGAATCCCAGCAAAGCTAAGTCCTGGGTCCCCTGGGCCTCCGACGCGTCAGAGTCCATGCCTACCACTACTACTACCCGCTACTATGCTCCAGACCGGCCTGATGCCGGCTGGGCTACTGGAAATCTACAAAGACTACGGAGCTCTAAAAACTCAACCTGACCTCACCTAACGTTTCACAATTCAGTTTCCCTAGATTTCGCCGATTTCGGCCATTTTCTTTTTCTGAGAAGTTTTTTATTTATTTTTTATTCATTTCTAACCCATTGCTCATTGGGGGACCAAAACCCGAGTTTCTTTATTGTCAGACCGCACCTACATGTGTGATTCTGTGAAATGCAGGGCCGCATGTGCCCCTTCTTTAAAGGGGAAGTGCATCGATTTTTCGAGTAGGGTCCAGAAGAAAGACAATTTGATATAGGTTCGAATGGCGTATCTCTCGCTTCCATACGATAAGCCAAACTTGCCAAATCGCCAATTGTATACACACATTGCCATAGCGACCAGCGCAGTGATGACGTATGAAAGGCTTAGCTCCTCCACAGAGATGGTCGATCACTGCAGAAATTGGTCATTTTCAATTGTCTTGTATTCACGATGTGAAAGAAGCGCTGTATTCAATGCTGTTAGTGCCGTGAACTGTTTATCGGCCTTCTCCTACATTTCCCTAGGCTGACTGTGCCTGGGAAATGGTTCCTCTAGGAGAAGATGCTTGGTATTCGCCATCTCTCCTGAGACATTTTCAGCAAACTTTCAAACGTACGACATTATTTCATTCGTCAATCTCCACCACCCCTCACCTGGCTTCAGAAGATGTTACGAGAGATAGGAGAATCGCCAGGAAGCATCACATCCATCTTCAGGAAGTGGAAAGAGAAAACGGCATGGTCCTTGGTTGGGGGAAATGCTGAACGTCTGGTTTGTCCAACCAAGATTTCAGCATTTTGTTCGTCACTATTTTCGCTTGTCTGCTGATGTTTTCGCACTCCAACTTTCTCCTGTCGGTGTCACGTCCCAGTACCCAACCGAGAGGACTACTAATAAACAGTTCACTGCACTAACAGGATTGAATAAACCTTCGTGAGTACAATAAACCAATTGAAAATGACCAATTTCTACAGTGAATCGACCTTCTCTGTGGTGGAGCTAAGCCTTTCGAAAGTTATCGCTGCGCTGGTCGCTATGGCAACGTGAGTATACAATTGGCGATTTGGAATGTTTGGCTTATCGTATGGAAGCGAGAGATATGCCATTCGAACCGATATCAAAATTTGATATCGGTTCGATTAATTGTCTTTCTTCTGGACCCTACTCGAAAAATCGATGCACTTCCCCTTTAATACACCAAAAAAACAACCGTTTTTTGAACACTCATGGTTCAGTGCCAATACCGGTAGTTTTTCGATCAAAGTCAAAAATCCCCGGTATGCCGGTAGTGACCGTAGTTTCCTGGTATAATACCGGGAAAACCGGTATGGTTGGCAAGTATGAGGGAGAAACTAGCAGCACAAGATCCTAGTGAATGAAAAACTTCACTGTGTGTTTTAACAGCATTACTACACTGGTTGAGTTCTGCGTCAACAACACGTATTTCAGATATAAAGACGAGAGTTCTTCATGCAAACCAGAGGAGCAGCCATGAGTTCCCCACTTTCTCCGGTCTTAGGAGACCTATCCTAGGAATGGCAGGAGGAGCAATTGCTAGGGAAATGTGGAGATACGGTATGATCAACACTTGCTAGGGAAATGTGGAGATACGGTATGATCAAGACTTGGCTACGTTATGTTGATGACACGTTCACTAATATAGTGAAACCCAACTGGCCTACGTGCGGACAAGATTTAGGGACAGAATCAGATATATGACGGTACCAACCGCGGGCAACACCAAAGAAAAAAAGATCCAGTGCCATCAGTATGCGTGGAACGTGTTGTGAGCTGCCTTTGGACAGTGAAAAACTTACTTGTCAGCACCTTCTAGGTTCAGCCGTGTCCCATACTGACCATAGCTCAGATGCTTAGAGCATTATTATTACATTTATTCAAGGGAGGACCCAGACTTCCACCAGCAGATAACTAGCACCTACTGCCAGTACTGCCAGTACTGGTACATGTTCGGCACTTACCTGGCTTGAGGAATCACCCATCACCCCCCCCCCCCGTGTGTGTAATCCTGGTATGGTCTCCCATCAAGTTCTCTTCCCTTTCTCTTGCCCAGCCACCATTACGGCATTAGATGTTACAGTAGTCCACCACGCAGACCCCTCTGCAGAGGAATGAGGGAGGTCTTACCTTGTATCCTGCAATTTGGGTGTAGCCGTCCGCCGACTTGAATTTTCGTGTGTGTAGCGTTTTGGAATGTGGAGCGGGCGCTGTTTTTGGCCGATCATTGTTCGCTGGCAGTTGGAAAGAAACAGAAGTCCACAACGGAATATACCCGGGTATATACAGTTGAAGGCATTGGGTCGTCCACATCAAGGGACGCCACAAAAAAAACGCCAGAAGCCCACGACAAACATGCGTTACTTACCAATGCGATCACTCTGACTCGTCGTCGGTTTTGTGTTGTCGACGCTAGGTCCTGGAGCATTTCCGTACAAATAGCGTCTACCCGTGGCCATGTTGGCAACCCGCTGCTCCTTGCAGCAGTGGGTTTGGATTGCTTGTAAACTGCAGCCGCTCGCAAGTGCACCATGGCATGTGAGCGCCACTTCGAAAGAGAAACTTTTTGCGCAAGCGCCTCTTCACATTGCATTGTGGTGTGCCTCGCAGAACAGCGTGCATGCATGATCCAGCCGTCGTCTACGTGTACTACTACTAGTACTAGTACTAGTAGATCTACGACTACGAGTACGAGTATCATGGTAGTGATCATGGTGATGGCTACATACAGCCACACTGTAGTGGCTAGCTACAGCCCAGGGCTGCATCGCGCTGAGGCAGTGCCTTGCCCACGCCACGGTTGAAGGTCGCTTGTCCTGACGGAGGTGAACGCTCCATGTCGGCAACAATATTGGGCTTCGATAAAGCTGAACCCGTGTGCGAAAGGACCACCCAAAATGATCTGGCTAATAATCAGCGGCTCAGAGAAGAAACTCAAACTCAACTTTTCGGGAAGGCAAAAGTAGCAACAGTTACCATGGTTACTACATCATGTAAACATGGTAAATGCAGCTAGCTGTACTGGAGCCCTACTTTCGCGCTTGGACAAGTACGTTTTGTCGAACATGCGAACATGATGTATAACAATTATTTACTATCTTTAGGGGCCGTCCGTAAATATCGAACTTTTTTCACCAAACGAATTATTTTAGTTTAGACCCAACCCCTCCCTCCCTCCCCCTCAGAACGTAAAAATTGTTGACATATACATGCATATACAACAAAAGTCGCAAGTGTGTCACTGCTCCTATGGCCATGTACATGTATCGAACTTTTCTGAAACGAAATTGGTCAACCCCCTCCCACCCCATAACGAAATTATTTCGTTTCGTGAAAAAAGTTCGATAATTATGGACGACCCCTTACTTATAAAAGAGAGGCACCTGTGACGTGTGTCTGTGTGTGTGTCACGCTCCTTATAAAGAAGAGGCACCTGTGACGTGTGTTTTTGTGTCACGCTGAAGCGCTGCGGAGCAGCGCTGCCCTGAGCACGCGAAGCGTGCGAACAGTGTAGCACAGTGTAGCTAGCGGCCGCAGAAGCACTGAGCACGCGAAGCGTGCGAATCGTGTAGCTAGCGGAAGCAGCCACAGCACTGAGCACGCGAAGCGTTCGAATCGTGTAGCCACCACCACGTGCTGAGCACGCGAAGCGTGCGAACAGTGTAGGTACGTAGACCCGGGTGCTCGAATCAGAAACGATTTGACAGGTGTGCAATTTCTCATCTGTAAATCTCAACAATGTCAGAATATACTTTTGGAGAGGCGATGGAACAGGGAAGAGAGTCTGGCTTGACCCACCCAGCAGGAATTCAGAACATGGGTGCGCTACAACACAAGCTACAGACGCAGTAAAATTGTCGTATTTCCTTCGGATTTTTTATTTCTACGGTGGTAGCGCTTATACTTATACTATAGCAGACACGATCAGTACGAGTAGCAGTAGCAGCCGCGCGCAGAAGCACTGAGCACGCGAAGCGTGCGAATCATCATGGGTGCGCTACAACACAAGCTACAGACGCAGTAAAATTGTCGTATTTCCTTCGGATTTTTTATTTCTACGGTGGTAGCGCTTATACTTATACTATAGCAGACACGATCAGTACGAGTAGCAGTAGCAGCCGCGCGCAGAAGCACTGAGCACGCGAAGCGTGCGAATCATCATGGGTGCGCTACAACACAAGCTACAGACGCAGTAAAATTGTCGTATTTCCTTCGGATTTTTATTTCTACGGTGGTAGCGCTTATACTTATACTATAGCAGACACGATCAGTACGAGTAGCAGTAGCAGCCGCGCGCAGAAGCACTGAGCACGCGAAGCGTGCGAATCATGTAGCCACCTAGCCTAGGCCATAGGTAGCACTAGCAGCCGCACAAGCGCTGCGGACCACGTGAACCGTTCTCTGCAAATAGAAACATCTCCAACAAAAGGATACAAAAGATCTGCACTGACTGCACTCTGCATCTGATCTGCAGTGAAGAGCGCATCGCACTTTTGTTCGTAAGTTTTTGAACTTTTTGAGCCGCTTCATCCGCCACCAGGTGATGGACAACCCTGACCAGCCTCCCGAAGGCGTAACAGACGTCCCTCCTTCTCCTTCCAACGATGAAGAACCTCCCTCACCAGGACTTCAGCGGTCTGGCCACCACCACGTGCTGAGCACGTGTGCTGTTCATGTACTTGCTTCACCCGCGCATGCCACATTCGGCCAGGCAACGCTGGCGGGGGTGCTGCTAGTAAAGTATAACTATAAGATCAAGGAAAAATGGGCACAATGAAGGAAAAACCTCATCGGTCACCATCACCACCAGGGAGTCGCAAAATACAATATACCGGTATACGGTATTTTACGACTCCCTGATCACCACCATGCACCCATCACCAGTGACCACCACTGAATTTTTGCTTGCAAAGCAACATCATTACTAAGGGGTCGTCCATAAATATCGAAGTTTTTTCACAAAACGAAATAATTTCGTTATGGGGTGGGAGGGGGTTGACCAATTTCGTTTCAGAAAACATTGTATCATGTACATGGCCGTTGTATATGCATGTATGTCAACATTTTTTACGTTCTGAGGGGGAGGGAGGGAGGGGTTGGGTCTAAACTAAAATAATTCGTTTGGTGAAAACAGTTCGATATTTACGGACGGCCCCTATTAAAGTCTTTATGGCCTGTAGAGTTTTAGACGCCGAGTCGAATGGTGAAGGCCGCACTTCGATCCGACCAAGCGTTCCTGAGACATCTTCCGTTGAAATTGCACTGGATGTGTGTGTGTGTGGGGGGGGGGGGGGTGTACACTGGAGGTGTGTGTGTGTGTGTGTGTGCAGGTCTGCACGAGATACAGTAACCACGGTATACAGCAGTACAATACACCCCAAGACTTACTACCGGTAGTAGTAGTAGTAGTACCAAGAGTAGGTTATGTACTCTTGCTAGTACCAGTCCAAGACCATCGCCATAGTGGTTTGAACACATCTTCCCAAAAGCAGTCAGTGTACACAACAGTTTACCCGTGCACCGTCGTACGCGGTCATGAAACACCCTCATGCTCAGTCGGAGTGCCTGAGTGTGTGTCTGAACACAGGAAACAACAGAACAGTGAGGGACACTGAGCAGCATGTACCGCACACCAAACTCACGGGCAATATTCACTTTCCGGCAATGTTAAAATTAGGAAAGGAGCGGAGCAATGAAGCCATTGCTTCAACACAACCAGCATAATTACAGTCATTATTGTATAGGTATGGTGATATAGTGATGATCTTGGGCAAAGGCAGGCAGCAGCAGTAGTGAAGGCTGAGTGGAGACCATGGCATCGCCAGCAGCACCATGGCATTAGCGCAACTGCACTCCAAAAACACACAACGCAACACAATCAAGGAGGCAAAACAGCTACGTGCTTGGCCAACATTGCACCAGTGACAGTACGTGCCATATAAGACTCCATGCAGCACCAGCCAAATAGAACGAGTAAAGTTTGAATAGTGGATCAATAGTTCTTTTTCAATATGAATACCATCTTCCTCCCGGAGATACTGGATTCGCAGCAGAGCACCTACAGCTGAGCGCATATTGCTCTAAGCAGCTGACAAATTTCCAGATTAGCGGAGCAATGAGGAGCATCAGGAAGCCTGGTGTTGAAGCGTCTTGCTCCAAGGAAACGTTCTTGAGGCAGGCTGTTCTCCAGGGCGTGTCTCCAGGGTGTGTGCTGAGACAACGTACGGCATGCTAGCAGTGAGTAGAGCGGCTAGAAATGCACCCGTTGGCAGCAATGAATCTCAAATCACTGCCAATACGCATGCATAGCGCACACACAGTGCATACGCACACACCAAGTGCATGGCACACGCCCAGTGCGTACACACACGCCCAGTGCACAGCACCCTGAGAGGCTCGCAGTACTACCAGAACGGATTTAAACTACAGCAGGAGAGTAGAGAGGGAAATGGCTTGCTTCAAAAAATGCCATCATGATCCAACCGTCATGATTCAAGCCGTCATCCTTATTCACTTGGTCCAGTTCGTCATGTAGCGCATTCGCAGGAACGACGATTGCGCATGATTCTCGAGCCGTGAGAGATCGGCAACGGATGATGCCAGCTGCTCAACATGATTATCGTACACACTGGCACCTGCGCAACACACATGTACACATGGACACAATCATGTCAGAAGTATACAGTTTATCATCCAGATGAACAAGTAGTGATGAAATGATAACGGCTTCCGACTATTGGCTGTAATTTCATCATAGTCCATTACATTTTTTCGTTCTCTACATTGTTATCACATTGATGCAATAAAGCCGTTGCACATGTTGATTCAGCTCGTCCTTTGTTCGCAATTTTCAAACTGTTGTCGCCTCGTTGCTTGTTAACGTATTAGCGAGAAGTTACTTTTAAATATCTTCTTGCCAACGTGTGCTTACACTGCAAAGGCAAACACATTTATACAGTCGAGACAAGATTAAGAGTACGAGTATGAGTGTATGACCATACACTAGACTACGATTACAAAGAGCAAAAGAAGAAGCAAGATGACAAAGGACCATGAGCACTTACTGCTCGGCTTCTTCTTCTGTCCGTACGTGACCTTGCCATCAAATTCATTCTGCTCAACCTTCAAGTCAGCCTCGACCTGTGGGATGGTGATGTCAAGATGGGCCTCCACATCGCGTAGCAACTGTCAGACAAGCACACAAGCATAGGCAAACACACACACACACACACGCACGCACACACACGCACGTGTTAGACCCTTTGAAATGAACGCAGTGGTAGTCAGCTACATGGACTAATAATAATTATAATGGGTGGTACAGTCAGACCTCGCTTATCCGGTCCTCGTTTATCCGGATCCCTCGCCATCCGGAAGAAAATAGTTGGTTACAAATGTACAGCATATGCCATGCTTACATACAGTATGTGTGTTCGATTATCCGGTTCCCTCGCCTATCCGGATATTTTTGTGGAAAACGGATGTGTGCGGTTATGCGAGGTCTGACTGTAGTACAAAACTGTGTGTGTGGGTTGTAACAAGCAGCAGTGCAGCAGCAGTGCAGTGTTATACGTTGGCAGTATGCTGCCAGTTGTTCTTACCTTGACCTCGTTGTACCAGATAGTGCATCCACCTTGCTCCACCAGGCGGGTGTTGTTACAGCTCTTGCCACGGCTTGGACACTTGTGATACCAAACCTGCAACACGGGCACCAAACCAACGAATCAGAACGAGCGCACACCATAGCTGCATTGTTTTGAAGTGAAAAAAGGATAGGCAATCACACTCCAGTCACCACAGTAAATATAATGATGATTGCTAAGTCAATTTACCCAACACCACAAAACTCGTTTAGGCCAATACACCCACAACCGTGTGTTTCAGAATGAGTTTCTTATTGTGAAGTAGGCAGAGCAGTAGGAGCAACTGACCTTTTCCTCAACCGTTGACACAAGAGAAATAGCCAGTCCCATCCTGCATACAGTGTACAACACAAGAACAAGACACGGCAAGATGAAAGCATTGGAGCCGCATGACAGGTTTCAAAGATCTTCAGCTGGTATTCCTAAGATATACTAGAGGTGAAAGTTTGCAGCGAGATTCCGAGTTCGAGTAATTGGATTTTCACCCATCGAATATTCGAGTATTCTTCGTCTCCTACAAAATCGCATTCAAAAAGGCTGAAACTCACAGGATACAAGCCCCGATCGAGCAGCTTGGCACTTAGTTTCTAGAGTACATTGGCCGGTGGGTCATTTGGGTTCTCTCTACTCATGTACTCATGTACCAATGCTCGATTGTAAAATTTGTTGAGACATGACTGAGCCACGATGTAGTGAACAACGCCAAATCAATCGGTCCAAAAGTGCAAATTTCAAGTAAGGTTAATGCGTGTGCAGCACCCCCCCCCCCCCCTCTCTCTCTCTCTCTCTCTCTCTCTCTCTCTCTCTCTCTCTCTCTCTCTCTCTCTCTCTCTCTCTCTCTCTCGAGCCCGAGTCTACACGTCAGCATAGACACACCGCAATTGAACATCTGTACCTTTCTGCTCTGCCTACACGGCCGATACGATGAATGTAGTTCTGCTTCTCATCCGGAAGAGTCACGTTGATCACTGTCACAGCACACAGAGCAAAACGCAAGGAAAACGGTGAGTGATCAAGCAGCAGGTCAGCACAATATGCTGGTGGCTGGTGTTATTGCACGAGAAAGATGTTCCTTCAACCAACCCCTTTGCGGAGGTAAGATTTTATAAAAGGATAGATTTGAGTATTGTTTGAAAAGGCATGATTTCACCGTTGCGACTTTTCCTTTGGAGAGAAAACAAGCGAGCGACACACACACAAGGACTGCTTACTGAACGGTACGCCACGGACGTCGATACCACGTGCAGCAACATCCGTGCAGATCAAGAACTTTGCCTGGCCAGCCTGACATTGAACAACACAAACAGCAGAAGCAGCATCAGCAAAAACCACGTGCGTCAAACACTTGTGTTCGTTATCCGAACAACATCAACTACGCGCATCATTGATTATCTGAAATGCCTGTTTACACTGGATTGAAAGGATAAAAGTGTGTTTTGCTGATTTTCCCCACCCACAGCACCTTCCAAATGGTGCACAGGATGTACTCATTGTGCACCTTTCGGCCTGGGCTGGACACAGTATCAATGATGGCATCTCAGAGGAACGGTACAGCGTGATGATGTATGTGACGTATGTGATGTATGTTGATTTCATTTATAGCAGACCGTGCATCCACAGTACTGCACGATGAAGTCTTGGCTCATCAGTCAGTTCATGTAGGGAACCGCACAGCAGCAGTAGCCATGGTATTGAAAACACTGCGGGTGCGGGTGCCCACTGAAACAAAGTGTTACTGTATTTTGCAGAGGATAAGTCGCACTTAGAACACAAGTGACTCATCCAAGAAAAGTCGGCGCGATGCCGCTTATACTAGGATAGTCAAATTAACGGTGGTAAATGGGGTAGACGTCTGTATTTCGTGACAAACAATCTCCATGCGGCTCACACTCTGGAAAATACGGTAGGTTCTTCATGGGACAGGTTCTCATTGAGCAGCCACAGTACTTCCAGAATCCGCTCACCTTGAATTGTTCCAGGTTGGCCTTGCGTTCCTGCGGCTTGCGATCACTGTGCAGGCACACACAGGAGTACTTGTTGGAACGGCCACCACCACCGCATACATTCAGATACTGCTCCAGATTGTCGCAGTCCAGCTTGGTGCGGCAGAAGATGATGGCCTGGTCCATGCGGTGCACGTCGATGGCACGCACCAAGTACTCGCCTTTCAGCCGCTTGACCGCCTCAGACATTGCCTCTGTGAAACACACATACAGGTCCACACAGGTCAACATCAGCTTTAGGAGCTGCATCTGCGCCTTAATCCCTGAGGGTGGTGGCGATCCCATGGATATGGAAAACTCAGTCCAGCCAAGTCTCACGCAAACCATTACAAAACGTTATTTGGGATGTGTGTTTCCAATATTGCCAGTCTTGATGTCTGCACCCAGTAATAACAAGTTACAAGACTTATAAAGAGCAGTATAAATGTACAATGTAGCAGGTAAATTATTGCTGCGTCTTGATCACAATTCTCTATACATGTAGAAGACGGGAGAGAGAGAGAGAGAGAGAGAGAGAGAGAGAGAGAGAGAGAGAGAGAGAGAGAGAGAGAGAGAGACGCACACACGCACATACACACCCACATACAGGGGTTTCCCATTCCACTGAATCATACTGGATAAGTTTCTTACCTTTTGTGACCATGCCCGCCCGTGTGTTGTCCCTCTGATGAACGCCGTCAGTCTACAGTCACACAACACAAACATTACGTGCTTGATGACGTGCCTTCAAGGCTGTTGAATTTACCTCATCACCTTGTTGCCTTGGGGTCACTCGGGACACAAGTACGTGGAAGTTGGCAATCTTGTACGTTGCGTACAGCCATTGCTGCAAAGGCCATGATGATTGCCAACAGCACTACACTACTGCACTAGTATCATATTGCCACCACGGTCCTGTGAGACACGTGTCGTCAGTAATCTTGTATTTCAATTTGTATTTTCTGCTGCAAAAACACATGACTAATAGCGTATAAAAGAGTTTCAGAGCACATTTCTGGCTGGTTTCTAGAACTAAAAGCGTGGTTTATACTCGTACACCAGAAGGTGACACAGCATAAGGCGAATAGAACAACAGCAATAGTGTGTGTGTGTGTGTGTGTGTGTGTGTGTGTGTGTGTGTGTGTGTGTGTGTGTGTGTGTGTGTGTGTAGCTGTAAAGTGTATAGCAGGGAATCGTAGCAGACAGGGAGACGACATGAGCACCAAATGGTGTGGGTCCCCCCCCCCCCCCCAAGCTGCTCGTTCCAGACACCCTTGGGCAGGACCGGTTCATGCAAGCTCCCACAATTGATGGCTAGCTGGACTGGGTTGGGCTTGGGGTCAACAGGTCACGATCCCGATACCGAGTTGAATAGACCACGGATCGCATAAAACTATCAAATCCGGATTCAAAACGCACATCGCGTGGGGTACTATGATCTTGCGTGGCCTACCTAGAAGGGGTTAGATTCTAAGACCCCCCCCGTGTACAGGGTATTGTGTATAGTTGCAGTGCATGGTGTATACATACGGTAACGCTGCGCTTTAGACTGTGCCATGAAGAGTCCGTCCTTCTCCGGGTCAATGAAGCAGTACTAAATAGCAGAGGAATACATCAATACAGCACACACACAGACACACACGCACGCGCACACACCCATACAATCGTATCCGAGTCAGGTACTGACCTAACACTACATGAAGATCACGGACAATCTCTGGTTTCTTAAAGCCAGTTCCGGGGTAGACACATGGCCCTGACCCAAAATTGGGTATCAATGGTTGCCAGTAGGGATCACGCGACCCTAAAAAATTACCGAATATAAAGATCCACCAAGTATGAAGTGTTATACAGCATTGATGTACTGCTTAATTGGCCAAATGCATAGACTGTCAGCATTGCACAGGTAACTTACTGAGTGGTGAACAGTTTCCGGCACACTGTCCTGCCCCTTGAGATCCACCCAGGTAGGAAAGTGCATGACGCGCTCCTACCAACCAGAGAATGAAAACAAACCGCACGCAAGATAGCGTGGCTACACAAAGTAAACAACACAGCGCTGCATTCCAGCCACTGGAATCCTGCTGGAGCGCCAACAGTACAGACAACCAGGTCTCTCTGTCTGTCTCTGTCTGTCTCTCTATCTCTCTGTTTCTGTCTGTCTCTCTGTTTCTGCCTGTCTCTCTGTTTGTCAGTCTCTCTGTTTGTCAGTCTCTCTGTTTGTCAGTCTCTCTGTTTGTCAGTCAGTCAGTCTGTCTGTCGGTCTGTCTGTCTGTCGGTTTGTCTGTCTGTCTGTCTGTCTGTCTGTCTGTCTGTCTGTCTGTCTGTCTGTCTGTCTGTCTGTCTGTCTGTCTCTCTTACTCTCAGCATGTCCTTGATACCTCAATAGCACTAAACACATCAAGACAGCAATACATCTCATACTTCTAGTAAGACTAAGATACCAGGTCAGTTACAAATCTCCATAGCCACAACAATATACACACAGTGCTAAAAACAGCTTATAGACCTCACCGCCAACTTCTTGACCTCGAATGAATGAAGGGTTGCTGAGCACACCACCATCTACAAAAGGGATAGCAAACCCAAACATATTGACAACAGAGAGTGTAAGCAGTTTCAATAATACGGTGGTACGGGTACGAAGGAAATCACACCCCAGTACAAACACAGCCATTACTAAATCAGTTGCAATCTGGAGTGGTGTTAGAATGGCATGGGAGAGACATTCAGATACAGCCACAATCCGGCCATAAAGAACAGCAATACATGTATAAGAAAAGGAAACTCAAACATATACTGTATATAGTGGTGAAACGAATATACCCAATATTCGAAAGTTCGTTCGGTTTGTCACATTCGAACGAATATTTCTCATGGCGAATATTCGCTAACCGGGTATGCAGAGTTTACCGGGCGACTTCAAACTTCCGTAACTTCGCGAATACTTGACCGAACCGCTTCATCGAAAGTTCCATCTGCATTAGAAAACTCTCAGCTGTCGTCTCGAAGCAACCTGGACGCGATCCCAGGTCCTGGAATGGAGTTATGGCGGTCGAACGAAAAATCACGTCTTGAGCTGTTTTTTGAGCGTGTAAAATGCACTTCAGCTGGGGATTTTGTGAAAATTGACCTAGAAATGGTGGAGAAATATGTGCCTTCGTTTGTCATGCCTAATAATAGTGACAATATCCAACAAAATGACTGAGAGGAGGGCGTGTGATGTCATCCGTGTTAACGAAAGAATATTCGTTCGTTCGTTAAGCCAAAGAATATTCGGCTACTGGGTTTTGATATTCGTTTCACCACTAACTGTATATTACACAGCATACACAGCATATACAGCATACACAGAATAGACAGCATACACTTCGTGCACAGCGTACACGGTCCAATAGATGACTTGCACAAAGATTGTCTGGGTTCGAGACGGGGCAAGTGGACCTTCTGACTCTGACTTCCCCACCTTTTGAGTTCGTGACTTTCGAAGTTTCGCTTTTTGCCTGAAGAACACTGAGCTAGTTTTTTTGGCTAGAGAGTAGAGTTGTTTTGATTCGGCTTGTATCGTCATGCCGAAGCGCTGCTACGCTCCTGAATGCACTAGCAGACGAGAGATGGAACTGACGCTCCCATTCCATACGTTCCTTTCCGAGCCGGCCGGCCGGGAGGCAGAAAAATGAGGGAATATTTTTAGTATCATTGGTGTAGGCTGCAACAAGCACGTCGTGGTCCTGAAGTGTGACTACTTTCCCGCAGTGGAAGCGAAGTCAAGCACAACGAAAGTTTGTGGACGTCTGAGAAATAACTCGATTCCCTTCGATTCGGCTGCACTAGATCCAGAGCGACTCTCTCCTGAGGACAGACTGCGGAGAGGCCAGGAACCTGCCGAGTCACGAGTGGAACTGAGCCCAAACCACGAAAATGAGGGGTGGAAGGACTGAGTGTGAGAGCCAGATGGCCTTTAGTAGTACTTCAAGTAGTATCTGAGTTGAAGGAGAGAACAAGTGTGCTGGAGAAACGCTGCGAAGTCCTCAGGCCTAATGTGTACTAGCTACTGTTGAAGTCTCACTTGTTCCGATATGAACACTTCATCAGCCCTGACTCTGAGCAGCTGTATCTAGACTTGGACTTAGGCCAGAGACATAGCATTGTAAACCTTACTGAAGCCATATGTATCCAATGCCTGGCTCTAGTGAGAAAGCAGTTTGGCGCAGGCTCGCAAACTATGATTGAATCAGGGAGTGGTGGAAAGTCACATTATACCTCCCCATGATTAGCTGGTAATGACGACGATGCGGCTCCGACTGGGTCTCAGTCTCAGAAAGGATTTGTTGGAGCATCATCAAACAGTGCATTCACCTTCATCATACACTGGCTCCGTTGCCTACAGTAATTCACATTTTGACGGGGCGCGCTGGGACGATACGGAAGGAGCGGCGGGAACCATTGGAGTGCTCATGATGCTGGTTAGCGGAGACGGATGTGAGTGTCAGGAACGGGAACGCAACCGCACTACTGTACAGATCAGGAAGCGATGGAAGAGTTGAATCTGTTCAGCCTTCCATGCCGTGTACAGGGACGCAAGCGTAAAAATGGCTACATTTCGAATGTGAACTGGCGATGGCATTGTGTGGCGACGAACACAACTGCAACTGTTCAAATTTCAGCATTTCGAACATTATGCTTCTCATAATAACTCACCGAATGGCTCACATGACGGAGTTGGACATTACCAGGCTAGGATTATCATTTGCTGTATTTATGGATAGTCCTTGAGTTTTCAGATGAAGTGCTTTATCTTTTCCTGTCGTTCCTTTAGTATGGCACAATGTCCATGGCTGCTTCCTTGTCTTCATAACAGATTGGTATAATTAGCATGATTCTGCTTTTTTGAGAAGAAATAAAACTTTCCTTTCGGAAAGGAAGCCCAGAAACGTCAACCCCCATGGACTTTATGACTCTCGTCCATCAACGTTAACCGTCGCAATAACTGCTGCATGTATGTTGTGCTGTGCGAACCGTACAAGATTTTACAGCTCACCCACGCCTTCCCAACAGGCTCCTATATCCCGTACCGTTAGCGTTACATTGAATATGAACTAGGCTAGCACAGTTATCCTTCGTTCTTTTGATGGCGGCGGGTAGCATGGAACTTGACGTGTTCTTGGGATCCTCGTGCCACACTTGCTGTTCCCGGATGCCATATTATTGGGTGCATCGAGGTTGCTTCTCACTGTTGTTTAGTAAGACAATTTTGTTATCTATTTCACCGAAGAATAAGGCAAGAGTATTTTGGGTTGATTTGGACGCCTGGCTTCTCTTCACATAATAATACAGTCATGTACTTCCAGGGAGTAGTACAATACCTGCTTCCACTAACCCTACAAGTGCACATGCATGACTCATGAGCTGCTGAAGACAGTGACGGTACTGATCATGTACATGTACATGCCGTGCACCGTTCATTCATGCTGACAAAAAAAGTACACTACACTAGTCTACAGACGGTGTACACTGGTGTAGGGTGCCCGCAGTGTAGCCTGGGTGCACAGGGTGCACTTGCCCCGTCTCACTCGCGGCTCGGATCTTTGTGCAAGTCATCTATTCTAACCTGCATACGACGACCATCCGGCTGACTACTGGGAATCTGTGAATACATAGACATGATGAACTTCTCATAGCCTTGCGTCAGCAGTCCATCCTGAAAGGAAGCAATCAAACAATCACAACCACACGCGCACATACACACACACACACACACACACGTTCACACACACACACACACACACACACATACACACACACATGTACACACACACACACACACACACACACGTACACACATACACACGTACACACACACACACACACACACACGTACAAGTAAGTAACTAACGTCAACGTGCAGTCTTGTGCATTTTCGATTGCTTCTTCAGTGCCTGATTTACTGCGTGACTAGGTACGCGGGTATACTGGCATTTGGCCCATTTGCTAGCAATACAAATAAGTGAAACTAGACAATATTATTATGGGCATTACTGTGTGCATGTAGAGGCTGACTTGGATAATCAGAGCATTTCAAAAACAGCTTGCAAACAAATGTTTGGATTACTGGAGTAGGACTGTCAAGGAACAGTGTTCAAGTAAAGCAGCAGCAGCAGCAGCAGAATCAATAAAGTGCAGAAACACTTACAGCCTCATCCAGGATGTAGAATCGAACCTGGAGTAAGGCAAACAAGAGGCAGAGGACACTATGTAAATGAATAGAGAGAGAAGTATACATTCCACACGGCAGATTGCTAGCTGCCACGACACCCTAGTCACCCCAGGCTGCAAGTCAATTTCCGCATCGCAAGACGAATTTCTAAGGAAGTTTTGTAGATGCAACATGCGAGAATGAAGGTCTGGAACAACAACATTGAAGTTTCCACTTAAGCGCAAGCTCTGAATCAATCAACTTTCCGTCGCCTTTTTCGTTGTTGTCTGATCCATCGATTAAATACTAAATTATGCATATAAAATAGTGTTCAAATCTTACTTGATATTCCTGTTGTTTTATTCTGCGATTCCGTCGCCGTTCTCCCTTTTCTATTTTAGTTTTTTCCAATATCTGACAGCACTGCTCTCACCCCCAGCTAAATGCAAGCAATTTTTCTGCCAGACGCACAAGCTACATTTCTGCTTGTCCATTTTACTCAAATATATTTCTTCTTCACGTTCACTTTTTGCTTTAAAATCTAGTTTTCCTTTCCTTTCTTTTATCATGCTAGCCGCACTCCCTACAGAGTGGTTTCACATCAGTTTGTCATGTGACTAAACTTGTGTAGAAAGTGATCATGGCATGTGGACGGTGGAACCAACATGGCCTACATCATGTGACCCATAGATGCGGGGGTTGAGTGGAGTTGGAGCCAACATGGCTGTCCTGTATGGTCATATGATAGATGTGAAAACACCCTACAGCAGTGTCATATTGCTCGATGACATTACAGATCAGCTGATCAAGTGATCGCTACGCAGCTCAGGCCCAACGGGCCCTAACCCTAACCCTCACCCTAAATGTTGACTGTAGTGTGCACGTTTGCATGTTTTGATCATCAGTTAGTCGATAGCACACTCAACAGGACGTTGGCATAATGCTGTGAAGGTGGGACCAGTGCACAACGCACGCCTCCGGTTTCCCAGTAGGTTCTCCCCGGCCCTCAGCGCGTAGCGATGTACGCACACGTGGTTCAGCAGCGGGCTAACCTGAAGCAAAGGCTCACACATGCGAGAGACAAACTCGCAAAGGGAAATGGGAAAGGACGATCGTATCCGAGAGTGGTATCGATACAACGTTCGGCATCGAGAGGATGGGACGGTACACATCTCTGAGGAGGAGGGCATCTATCAGTGGTACCTCAACGGGGTGTATTTTTAAAAGCAATCACCCATGAGACCAGGGCATACAGCTCCTTGATTGTGCACGCTACACTGCAGAAAGTAGTGCCGTGTGAGTCCATGGCAACCCATATCGACCACTTGATTGAGAATATAATCTGTGTTGCATGTCGGGAGACTCCAAGTACACTTGTTGCTGCTGCTGGGTTGGGGGTGTGCGCATGAATTCCACTCACACTGTATCAAGAAGTGGAGTGGATCAGGGTTGCCCCTAAACATGGAAGAGAAACGCAGGGCCGTTCAAGACAACTCCTGCATTCTTCAAGATGTGGATGAAGATCATCACACCAAAGAAACTACGTACGGCACAGTTTGCCAAGTGTATTGAGCGACTGGTGGACAAGACAGAGCCAGAAGAACAGCTCATGATTAAGCTCATCCAGCATTATGGAATGAAGGTGAAGTTACCACTTGCTGGCCTGT